ACGGGTACCGATTCCAATATGGACATTGACCCCAAAGCTGCTGTGACCCGTGCGAGCTCAAAGCTGCAACGCACATCGACAGCCGTTCTCAGTCCGATGCAAACTTGCAGAAAACGACTCGAGATAGCACTGCATCTCCCACGTCTGGCTTCAGTGAATCACATAATTAGTAACAGCACTGGCCTCCAGATTATTACACTCAATGCACACGGCTTAACGATACAAACCTAACAAAGCTTTCTACCAGAATCTACACATTGTGCATCAATAGCGATTATTGGCCGCACATCACAATCCACGACATACCCTCGCTGAGGAGTCGTACTAGTATTATTGAAACACCCTCTCATCAATTTCAAAAATACTACAGTACACTCACATCATATATCTTTTGACTTCTACCAGCCCACTATTGGTGCTATCTACATCCAATCCCGACTCTCTCAGTAAGCAGTAGCTAGCGCACTTCAATATATTAGCCACCTCCGCATATTACGCATAGGCGGTGACTTCAACATATGTGTGCCAACCACAGCACGAATATACGCGAACACAAACACCGACTCACGGCCAGTCCGTATTCATCATGGGCAGCGGACTCATCCGTATATCATTTCACCAACCCAAGCCGCCCACAAGGCACCAAGAACAGCTTTTATCGCATTGCGGTAACATATTACCTTAAGCCAGCCGGTATCGGCTCAGACCACAAGCACAAGCCCCTCTTGCACTCTCATCCCACCCTGCATGTACTCTCAAATAGTCGAGGCAAACCATCTGATAGTTTTAATCTCTTTCGCATAAACATATCCAAATGAAAATTACACACCATCAAAGCTGAATTTTAAACCCTACTACGAGGCCAGGAACGACCTTGGGAACGACACCTTGCTACACAATCACCCTCAACCACATACGATCACATTACAGACCGCACATGGTCCCTTTTAACAGGTGTTTACAAGTCATACATACTCACACCAAGCACCCTACACTATCTACCTCTCCTCTCAGCGCTTCGTCCTTCAGCGCCACATATCCTCCGCACATTCAGCCACTTCCAAAAATCAAACATACAGCCTAATAACAGACCCTACAGCACAAAGGTGCAAGGCAAACACGCTCCAGAAAGTATCACTGAACACTGGCATACGCTATTCATGACATCAGGGAACTCTATTATGCACAGTATATTACATAACTTAAAGACTATGTGGAAATATCCGTCGCGCAAGGAGTCCGGTTCTGATGGCGTACACATCAATGCTTTCAAGGCCTGCCTCGAACTCCACCTACTGGATCACCACGATCGTGCCCTACGAGGCAAGCTAATCCCTGCCGCATTTTGACCTCAATTTCTCAGCAAACTCTTTCGTGGAATGGTATACAAAGGCGATTACCCCCCAATCTCTCTTAGACAAATTGTCCACCGAGTGTTCGAACTTGCCGTTATACCCACCTTTCACACACACAACGCGTTTGAATTCTCACGCACACAAGCTGGCTACCAGCTACGATACTCAGCGCTAGGCCAAGCACTCACACTGCACGAACCGTTGTTTAATCACTTAATTTCATCCTTGATAACAACACAATTTTCTACTATTCTCTTGTTTTGAAAGTGTGTTACATTATTAACAAGCTGCACTAATTGATCCATGAACAATTAATGTTGCGTTGCGAAAATCAGCTGTCCATACCTTTTAAATCTGCGATCCAAATCGAAATTGGCGAGCTCATGACCCTCTAGAAGGAGAAGAAGACTTATATCAGCAAAATATAGGTGAATGGCCATGGCGAGCTGCTGAGTTTCTTCGGTCGCCAATCTGTCACCAATCGATTCATAGTATTGCTTTCGAATATAGCCAGTGACAAGTTCAATTTGAAGAAAAAAATTACAATCCCAGAATGCTTCATCAATCAGCGAGATAAACCTGGGTGAGAAACTACGGATGGCAATACATTATACATAGTTCGATCACAAAGGATCAGCATCAATATTAGAAAACTATGGACCTTTCGCCTTTCCGAGGCTTTGACGTGTTCCACCCTTTCACAGTAGATTTTGTTTTTGGCGCATCCTGTCGGTCTCGTTTATAAGACCTGCCGCTTGTCGATAAAAACTGTCGAACAAGTAGCATTAGCTGAGAGTGCTCGCATTGCTTAGCTGAGTAATACTACCATGAAAATTCATGGTATATAGTTCAATAACGCAGTTTCAGCTTTGATTGTAAAATTTTGTGGACTATTCGCCTTTTCAAGTTGTTACTTAACACGATTAGCTAGCTTCACTGGTGATCCATGACCGGAGCAATGTTGCCGAAAACAGATTTCCGTAAATTCCTATAGAACTGCGCTGCCAAACAACTATCATTGGCAGGGTATGATTGCTCGATTTGCTTTAGGCGAAGCAGCAGTCAATTTTCGGATTATTCCAGAACGCTGCGCTCGAATATGCAATTCTTAGTTTTACTGTATAAATATGTTTCTCGGAGGTTGGATATCGAAGTTGCCATACAACTTGCAGCATCACATTTAGGTGCGTGTCACAGATTGCAGACTGAAAATCGAACGTCCAATTCTACAACGAAAATTTCCATTTTTTATGTTGTTGATGGTTCGGATTCTTTGTTGAGAGATGTAATATGGGCCGGATATACTAGCTTCCGATTTGCAATAATACGGTCGTTTTCAACAGGAACGGATTTCACAAAGAGGTATATACTTCTGAAAGTCGTGCTGTAATTACATATTAGTGTGACACTAGCCGCGAACTGGCGATATTGAAATAGCATCGAGTGAGACATGTGACTTCCTTATCGCACGCGTTTGGTATTGGTTTGTATCAGTATCTTTGAAACAGTTAGGCTTATGTGCTGGGTGGTACGAAACTTGACAAGTCTCGGGTGAAATCGTCTCACAATAATAGCTACAACTGCTGGGTTTATACTACATGTAAGAGTGAGTCAGAAAGCATTGATGAAACATAATAATATGGTTACAAGCCAATCTTGGGAAAGTGAGCAGCTTATCTCATTTGAGCTTCAAAGTCTGCTAAGGGCAGCTTTGCCCGTGTGCTTGGCGATAAGTAAGGCAGCGCACTAATAAGAAAAAATAGTGATCGCTGATTACTTGCCATTACTAACGCGGAGTTTATCTATTGCACTAACCTAGCATAATAGAATATGTGTGAAACATACCATACTGTTCCAAGCTAATCTTGGGAAAATAATGTTGAGCAACTCATCCCAAATGGGCTTTTAAGTTCGATAGCGGTGACTTTGTCGGTATGCTTGGCGATAAATAAGACAGCGCAGTGGGTAATTAGCACCAGTGATAGCTCAAAATGTACGATTACTTAAGCGTATTTATGTAATAAATGCACTAAACCTAGCATTGAAAATTAAAAAAAACATAAATTGCATACAGTTCCAAGCTAGTCTTGATACCGTATTGTTGAGCAGCTCATCCTTAAGAAATAGAAATTCAAGTTTGTTAACAGCAACATTGTCGGTATTCTTTACGGTAAGTAAAATAGCGCAACAAGTAAAATAGCGCAACGGATAATCAGCAACAGTGATAACTGATTATTTGCCCTATCTCGGGCAAATTTATATATTATGTAGTGAACCTAGCATATAATGGTATACATAATAAGCAGCAAGAGTCTCAGCTTTCATATGATGCCAAACTCTTTATTTTAGCGAAGTAAAGACACACATACCAGCTACGGTATTCCACGTATTCCAGACGGAAAGTGATACGCAAAGGGGTTCGAGCGATAGACTCCGTGGAATGCACAGTAGGGAAGAACACATTGAATGACAAAAAAAGAAATAGGCATGATCTTTGGAGTACAAGTATTGTACGTTTCATGGCCTTATAGCAAGTAAGCATCAAATATTACAGTAACGGTACAATTTCTGAGTGCCAGAGCTTTTGATATGCTGGGTAGATGATCGGCTGGATAGATAGATTGGCGATGATAGTTGGGAGACACAAATTGCTGCGGAGCACTATATTCGTTGATGAACAAGCTTTCGGATTGTTAAGTTTGGTCGGCTCATTGTGACCCACCTCACCTGGGCGGCACGAGAACTGTTTCACCTATGTCGCAGTGCACTTTAAGAGCACTATGTGTATGAAACCGAGCACATCTACGTCCAAAAGTGCTGCGAGGAATACTACATGATCCTTAGAAAGCTTTCTGAGTTTAAAAACAACATTGCTGTCTATCGAGCGACACGGCTGTCGCCTCAGTATATGAATTTGAAACTAGGTTAGTAACAAGAACCGCAATATCTGCTTCAGTTTATCACAAAGTCTCATTCATTGCTGGGTCAAAAAAATGTGTGGGAGTTTACAGTGCGGCATTCGATTTGGCACACTCGGTGGCAGAAAGTAGAAATGTACATCAATTTCAGTACCAAACATTAGATACACGTGCTTATATTGCTTAAAAACGGAGTGCTACACGATAATCTACTTTTTATTTTTGAAAGCGAGCGAGCTTCAATACAAAGTCGTGACTTGCCCGGTAATAATTATATCGGTTGAGATTTGCGCATCGCCACTTCTTCATGCTTTTATTTGTGAATGATGGCACACCATACAATTTAACCAAGATTTCGAGTTTTCATATTGTGCTGCAAGTAAGCATTGGCGGTACATCTACGTCTTCACCGGACAGGCCCATGCCAAGTGGGTGGTACGGATATTGGGCTGTTTGGCGCACTTAGAAGTGATGGTTTGCAGTAAGTATCATACAAACTGGGCAACAATGCCGACCAAATGTGCTAAAAAACAAACAAACTGCAAGTTACACTGTCGTTATTATAAAGCGAATCATATAAGTATACTTATAGAGTGATCGAAAGAGCTTTTTTTCTCGCTGAAAATGCTAGCGCAAGTAGTCACAAATTTGCAGTACATAACAACATGCATGATGAGTAGCAATAGATGAACCTTGATGCTAAAAACAAACAAAAACTACACCAAAATATACAAGGAGCTCGAAAGCCAATTTTATTAGCGTAATTATGGCGGAACCAAAAAATCCTGTGTTTACTGGGCGGCACGGATCTTGGCACGCTTGGTGGTGATGGCTTGGAAACCGGAGTGGATGGTTGCTACGGAACACTGGGCACCACACGACTGCAAATATTTTTGTAGATGTTGAAAAAAGAAGTAAACGGTGAGTGACTATTCTACGTAGCAACAAAGATCGGAAAGGGAAATTAATTAAACAAGCGGTGATGAAACGAAATGGAGAGTGTCCACATCACACTTCAAAATATATGAGCAATTAGGCGAATTCGATGTATGTCAGGGTCAGCTGGTACTGAGACATGCACACACTGCATGTTTGTGCCACGACTACTCACTTCGCACTGCTAAACCCAAAATATATATAGCCAAACCACCAGAGATACGCTCGTATGTAAACATGTCTCATACGTAGGCAGTTATCCAACCCTGTGCATATAACACATAAGCGAAGGGGTTAAATGTCGATTGGATTTCAAACCTTGGATACACGCGAACATAACTACGCTCCTTTACATATACGTATATAAGAAACATGCGTGTCAATACAACCCACCTCGCATTGCAGGAAGAACAGACGGTTGTCTTTGGTGAGGATAGTATCGGGGGACCGACACGTGTGACATGACACATATTCTCCTGTGGGAATGAAATTTTACAATGTGACATGAGTGAAAAGTATAATTCGAGATATGAAAATCACAGCCCTGTACAGCAAACTATATGCACAAGCAATGGCTATAGAAATCGTAATCCTGCGATAAAAATTCGATATCATAAAATAGAACGAGCAGATGGGACTGTTTGAGTATGCTGAAGAGTATGGGAACATGTGGAAGCATAACAGTTTATACGTAAACGAATTGAACAATGATATACACATATATAATAATTACATATCGAACTCGCACACGGACAGGGCGGACCTTAATTATAACCTCCTCAGCACATCCTTCTGCTCAGAAAGCACACACGCAAGAATGTAACTAAGCTTTTACACAGATATACACAACTAAATCCACACACAGATATATATATATGCACAAACACACACACATAAATACACAGCGCATAAAATTACCCACATACACAAATCAGATAAATTTATGATTTCAGGCACGTGCATATGCATCTAGGCATACACTGCTACTATATACTCATTCGCGAAGATTCTACTCAGTGAAGTAAGGCTTGAGAACGCATGTGAACTTACGGATATACGATCGCAGCACATTCTCGATCTGCTTCTGCTGGAAACGTCCTTTAATTACCAATTTACTGTCACCATCGATCGAACCAGTAGTACCCAACTCCGACAGTGCGTATGCCATCACGTGGTCGGGCAGACGGTGCACTCTATTGAGTTATTCCAGATACATGTCAGCATTTTGCGATATTATATTAAATTGTATATGCATATATATACATACATATGCTTAGATGTGTATGTATATGTGTATAACGTGCAGATGTATATTACAGTTATAAAACGCTTCTTTGGATAGTACGCACAGTTGAGATGGTGCTTATGCCGTCATGTGACTGGATATTCGATCTGCGCTATTGTTTTATCTGGGATCAAGCAGATGGTAAAACGTTTGGTATACCACAAAATCCAAATAAGACACTGTATCTAATTTAGACCGTATGTACGCCAGTACATGATCGGACAGATACTATACTCTGTGCGACTATTCCGGATTGTATACGTGATGAGTGTCTGTGAACGGATTCGCAAGTAGTGAATATGTGGACATGTATGGCAAACAAATAACTTGCTATCAACTGCCGACGCGCGCTTGCCATCAAGCGATCGAGCAGAGCCTATACACTGCCGAGTGTATTTACATTCAGATCAAGCTTATGGTAGTGCGTATGGGGCTGCTGGTAGATGTGTACGCGGATTTGACGGTCAAGCCAATGTTCTGGTGATACTCTGATCGTGCACAATGTCCGGTGACAGTACAAATGCTACAGCTTGATGTACTGTTTCAAACTCAATCGAGGTGACAAATACATTGGCTCTAGAGAATCACAGTATCCACGCGTCAACTTTGAAGACTTAACAATACGAACAAATTTGTAAAAGGCTGCGCCAAAGCTGAATACCTGTTGAGAAGCGACACACATTCATGGGATACGAACACGCACATACTAAATCACAAAGATAAACCCGTATACCCTCCAGAAAATAGCCCTTAGTATCGTGTTGATTTGTTTAGCTGCTGCATAGATATACTGGCTGGTGTCTGTGTGAGCGCCCTAGATTCTTATGCGTACAAACAAGTAAGCACAACGGTGTAAGTACATACATGCACAAGTATACATACATGCACAAACATAGACAACAGTGTATATACATACATACACAAACATGCGCAACACGCGACTTACTGCTTGCAAATCTCGACGAAGTTGACAAAACCAGTACGCTTTGTTCCTATTCGGACAATCTGTGGCGGTCGCACGGTCACACGCTTCCTCTCTCCCGCAGCACTGTCTGGATTACGTTGCTTCATTGTTTGGTATACACGTGCTAGAAGGTCCTCGTATGCATATTCGCGTTCACAATCCTGGAAGGTAGTGTGTGCATGTTAGAAATCTACCTGGACGTCTCTTCCTGCGAGCAAGTGACTATACGAAAAGACCTATGCACACATGGAGACATACACGGATACAGAGGATCCACTATCATAGTACATGCACACTCGCACGTATAGGCAGGCAGCTCTGATCGGTGTCGACCGTTGCTACACACTCCTGGTGGTTATCGACTTAAATCATCGGAACACACCTGAGCCCAAATGCTCTTCTCCTTGGTATCGTCGGCATCGTCTTCTAACAAAGCATCTCCTCCTTCGTCTTCATCCAAGAACGCAAGATCCTAAAGAATAAGAAAAAAGATTTATAATCTCATGTGAGTTGGTAAATAAAGGATGAGCATATATGTGACACAGATAAGGGCCATCAATACATGAACAACCATATGTACGCCATTGACGATGTGTAGGGCATAATAAAAATAAATAAAAGAATGCAATAAACGCAGCCCCAACCATGACAGACACCAATTTTAAACTCATGTACACCACATAATTATATATACATGCGCACACATAGTTTTGTAGGTTAAAAATAACGTATTGCACGAAAATATAACATGTCCCATTTGCAATACTTGCTGTGACTCAAACGAGGCGGCGTACACTTGTACGTTGATTGATAGGTCAATGTTGTCAAGGAAACACATGGTACTACGTATTTGCTATGCTACATGGACTATAGAATACACAAGCCAATATGAATGAACGCATATACGTATTCAGTTTCACATCAAGGCATCAGCATATATACAATACATACGAAGCCGAGACTTGGCATCGCATTAATACATGGTGCGCAAGAGTGCAAAGACAACTGAGTCGCACATTGAATCCAACCCAACCGCATGTTTGGGTATGCATACCCAATTGCTCAGATACTTCGTTTGTACCGACATACACACATTTGATTTGGTGTGTGCGCGTATACGAATCAGTAAAGGCGTGTCCCACACTTAACAACAGATATACAACGAAGTGACCTTCCTCCCTTTCTTATCATCTGCGCGATATAGCGCGAGAGTGATAGAGAGAAGACGGTGCCTTGTCTTGTTTACAAACAGAAACAGTACGAATGAGACATCCGTGGAATATATATCTACACATACCCGACGAAACATAGGTACGTACACTGTCGCCCATGCCTAACATATATATATGTCGGCACAAAAACCTTCTATGTCCTCCTTATCCGTAAACCGGCACTCTATGCCTTACATATCCAATTTCACACCTTTTTCTTTTTCTTTTTCTTCTTTTTGGTCAACTCCAAATCCGCACCCTCTACTTCTTCCGTTTCCTCTGCCACGGGCTCAGCCTGTTTCTTTGGCGCGTCAAAGTCTCCGAAATCAGCAGGCGCCGTTTTCTTTTTGCGCTTCTTCTTGCCACCGAACGAGAGATCAATATCACCTACGGCTGCGGTGGAGTTTGTTTTTATATGGGTATGGATGAGTGATAGGCGTATAGAAAAAGGTGTGCTTGGTAGATGATTGCACATGTATGAATTTTCGTAGAGATATATAGCCACGGTTAACAGGCAACTGTACATAGGTTTAGGTGGTACGTACATGGTAATGATAACGGTTTTTATATGCAGGCATGTGTAAAAAAATTACAACATAAAATTTGCATACAATCATATATATATATACGCTTCAAGTAGCATGAGTGTGCGAAATAAACTGTATGTAAAACTATAGAAGCACAATATATGAGTACTGGAGTGGATAGGACACAACGCCTGGAATCACGAGTGCATACGCGAGCTTATCTATCCTTATGTTGCCATGGCAAACAAATTCTATCGAACACAGAGGCTCTAGGGTACAAAACCCCTGAGTGCTATAATTCAGTGCTATAATTCGTCTACGCGATCAGTTGTTGCTGCCATGAAGATGGATAAATAGTTATAGCTAAAACGTACATGTAATCTTTCACGATTTGCAATGTCCTCGTAGCCAAACTTGAGATGCGAAATGTGATAGATTGAGATGACGTGCACAAGTTTGTCATATATATATACTTAAATATATACAAGCGGGTGCATAAGATGGAATCGTTGCTTGCGATGGAAGGATTTATGCGTACGATTATCAGCGATTTGTATGCCAATACACAACAATTTAGTCGTGAGGGACGTAAATGCTCAACAAGTTCGTTTGCCGATACCATGATGAGCATATGCAGATAGTAATCGAGTTCAAGACCGTAAAGAAACATCAACTCGTTACCCAAATATTCATTTAGTGTGATTTTTCAACGTGGATCATCAAGTCTGGATATCTAGACAACATGATAACTCGAGCGCACATATCCAATCTGCGACGCTCTTGTGGTTAACAGAATCACCTTGTGTTTATGGCAATGGGGTGCTTTCATTGTGTCACCACATGTTGTGATAGATAGAATACAGAAAGCAACCAACCCGTCAAAGTAGATGGGAAGTCTGACGACAAACACACATAAAAGTTGACAAGCGCGATCATACACGAGCAACAGAATCCGAGTTCCTATTTTCAATAAGCAACGAGGGAGTGAGAGGGTGTGTATATATGCACATACAGCGAATAGCTAGCTCTCTACAGTACTAATATACTATAACTTGGCAATACAGTATAAAAACCCAGGTCTATGTTGTGAAATTATGTATATACAGACCAATTTGATGTGCTCGTAGAACATAATAAATTAAATGTATCAGTATTATAACTGAGTGAACAAACATCCAAAGAAACTATGTATGTGCGTACCTGGCTATACAAATATGACTCAAATGAACAGATATACAAGTATAAGTTCTCCTTAGGCATATATATATATATTTGTATATATATTTGTATACATACACAACCACACCCACCACTACAAATGAACACAAGTATTCCTATCCTTACCATATACATGCGATATAGGTAAAAGCTTACAGATACAGATAAATATATATATACACACGCACACCTATATATATTTGGGTACATATACATATTAAATTCAGATACAAGGATACATGCGCATATGCAGGATGATAATATTCTACCAACACACACACACATATATACATACATACATAATATACATATATACAAACTATATAATTTTATAATCCATGCGCACGTATACACACATAGTTGCAGTTGCAATTGCATCTAAAAAGACGTTTACTAATTGCATTTCTAATTATATATATATATATATATATATAGATAGACAAACATACATACGTACATATATCTACACACACAAACACTTACACACACACTCATATATCATAAATATACCTCGATGCAGATATGAGAACCTATTCAAGCCCACAAACACCTACCAGCTGCGACCTCTTCCACGGCATTTGTGACTGCCTCTGCGGCACCTTCCAAAACACCTTCGGCTGTGGTATTGCCAGCAGTATCAGCATCGAAGTTAGGAAGTGTCTTTTTCTTTTTCTTCTTCTTGGTGGTGGACAGATCGAAGAAATCTGCGGGTGTATCGTCTGCCATGATTGCGATTGGTTATATATATGGGTATGGAGGTGGATTGTATACTAACGAGGATGTGAATATGTATGTGTGGAAAAACTAGATACGTATATGTATTCGTAGATAATACTTGTGGCGTATATGTAACGACAAGACTATCCTTCGGCCCGTATGTCGTTTGTGCGCGTAGCGCTATTCCGTCATACACAGAGAATTCTCAAGTTTCAAACTCAGAGGTATTTTAAGATTGCCCACACGTGAATACGGGGCCCCAAATGTTTTTAACTCCTGTCTGGAATATGATAAACTCGAGTGATATCAGTGTATTTAGAATATCTTAATTGTTTACGACATTGCTTTTTTCTAAAAAATATTGAATCGGGATTTGGGAAGGACATCACAAATATTGGCAGAACCATAGGCCGAATTATCAAAGACAGACCCTAATACCTACTGTACGGAGACCCCAATTCTCTTGCCATTTATATAAATCTAAATATAGAACATAATCCATAAGCTTTTGGAAATATGTATGTATGGTTCTATTCAATTGTACTATATCAGTGAGGTTGCGAACACTTCATATAATTAGTACGATCTGCGGCACATTTCATTAACACCTACACAGGTAACCTTCTTGTACTACATACTCAGCAAATATGATTGGAGCTATCTACCGAACGTGTATGCGAAGCAATGCTTCATTCATGGCCACCTTCTTAGTGGTAAGTATACATTTCACCAGCATTACAAAATGTACCAGAAAGGCGGTGCAATATACAAGAGGGAAGGGGTAGGGGAGGGCATAGGGAGTGGACTCTACAATGTATCCGTATCATTCTCCGTTAGCATATTGAGTGAATATATATATATATATATATGTTATAGTATATATATATATATACATCCACAT